GCAAGAGGTTTTGCCTGTATTGTCAGTGGTCTGTGAGCAATGCTTGTTTTTTGGATGAAGTGCTAATTATGTTGTCTAATGACGTGGGGTTATTTCCTCACCACAGCTTACTCAAAAGTAAACGGAACTTTTTATCCCTCGGCTTCCAAGGAGTCAGTGAATTATTGTTTGCCAGCTTTGAATAGCCTTTGCCAAGTCTGTAATATGTGGTTCTGGTTGTAATCCAGGAAGATGCTGGTCAGATTATGTAAATACCGATTAAGCCTATAGAATTACACTCAGAGGGCATTTTTATTGAGTGTCCTCCTAGTAAACTGAGTTTTCAGAGGCCTTTTCCTCTGATGGGATGGTTAAGAACTTTGTGTGCTTAAAGGATGTGGGCTAATGCTGGTGTCCATCCCCTGCCACGTTTTCAACAAAGCTCTTGAATTATTGGGAAATTCAAATTTATTTTTAAAATCCAAATTTCTTCTGTAGGTGCCATTTCACATTAAATATTTGTTGATTACTTCAAGATTTAGAAATATTTGTTGATCACTCCTTGATTTAGATACAGCACAGTTTAATAGAAATTTCAGTGATGATGAAAATGACTTCTGTCTGCATTGTGTAGTACGGTAGCCTCTAGGCACTTGTGGCTGTTGAACACTTGGAATATAGCTAGTGCAGCCGTGGAACTGAATTCTTAATTTTATGTAATCTTAATTAGTTTAAATATAAATGTCAATAGCCACATTGCTGGTGCTACCAAATTGGACAGCACAGGTTTACATAATGGTGGGGATTTTTCAGCTATTTAAAGACATAGCTCTTCTAATTCTGTAGGATTGGGCTAGGGGATTTTGTCGGGAAAAGTGTTCAGCAAGCAGATCATTGTCATATACTGATCAACAGTTTGCTTTTCAGACACACACAAAACCTGGATAAATCTTGAACTGTTCTCTGAAGAGGTGCCTCCTGTGTGTTCTGCAAAGGGTGGGCTGGATAGTCATCTTTCAGCAGCTTAGCTGAAAGAATGTCTACGGCCGGGCTCAATTGTTTGCAGCTCTGCACGCCCTTTGTGCAAGAACAGGGAAAATTTGTGTTATGACAATGGCTGACAAAATGTTTAATGAAAGCTGCAATTGGCAGTAACTAAATTCCCTGAGGTTTCTTTCCTCTCCTCTTTGCTACTGAAAGGTGCAGAAATGCTTTTGACAGCATCTGTCTTGCTGACAGATGAATTGTTTTGACAGGAGAATCTGAAACCTTCAGCTGAAGACACATTCAGATGTCGGGCCTGGTAAGGGGTGATTGTGTTTGTAGAAATAAGTGAGATGCTTTAGATTTGTGTGCATGTCAGCTGCCACCTGAAAGAAAGGCCTTATTAAAGGTTTTTCACTGATTAACCCTTTGATTGCTCTTTAGGGCCGGGATGAGAATTCACACCTCTTTCTGCACCATTCTTGGGCTGAGTAAATCTATTTCCTATTGAGAAATGAGTGCTGTCAGTAAGCATAGGAATCAAGGGTTTAAAAGAAACTTTAAAAATTGTGCTGGAAAAAAATAGTAAACCAATGTTCATAGCAGCATTATTCACAATAGCCAAAAGAGGAAACAACCCAGATATCCATCACCTGTTAAAGGGATAAACAAAATGTGACATACATACATACATATATATATATATATATCTATCTCCCCATACAGTGGAATACTATTCAGCCACAAAAAAGGAAAATGAAATTCTAACACATGCTCCAGCATGGACAAACCTTGAGGACATTATGCTAAATGAAATAAGCCAGACACAAAAGGACCAATACTGTATAGTTCCATTTATATGAAGTATCTAGAGTAGTCAAATTCGTAGAGACGGAAAGTAGAACAGAGGTTGCCAGGCCTGGGGGGAGGGGAGGATGGGGAGTTAGTGTTTAATGGGTATCGAGTTTCAGTTGGAGAAGATGAAAATGTTCTAGAGATGGATACTGGTGATGGTTGCACAACAATGTGAATGTACTTAATCTCACAGAACTGTGCACTAAAAAATGGTTAAGATGGTACATTTTATGTTATTTACATTTTACCACAATAAAAAAAATTATGCTGGAAGTTTTTCTTCTTGAAATGAGCAAACAAGGAAATGTCTCTGAGGATTTTATTTTACATTATATTTGTCAGGGAGAATACACTAAATATTTCCCCCATTTTCTGATAAAGCAATAAAGCATTTCCTGATGATCAACAGTTTGTCCCAGGGTTCAGGACTAGTCACTTTTCAGACTTAAAAACTAGGCAGCTCTGTGTCCGAAAGTAGAAGCCATTCCTAGAGACCCAAGCTTCAGCTGCTATCTTCTCTCTGTGTTGCTAGTAGGCGCTCCGAGAGGAGAATTCCCCTTTAGAGCCCGTCTGCTGACACTCGTTTGTTGATCCACGGCTTTCTTAGTTCATTGAAAGTCGAAGTTACTGCATCCAGGCTGACTCAGTGAGAGCTTAAATTTCCACTTACAAGTATCTTCATCTCTATTGCTACTTATGGGAATCTCAGTGTTAAGTCCTGATACTGTCTGGCTTTTTGATAAAACTAGCTTATGGAAGACTTTTCTCAAGCAGCCTTATCTAAAAAGAAGAATTTGTATATTTTTGAAATTTAAATAAATTTTGCCTGCCCTCTAAGGGCAAGATGGATGAAGGGGTGTCATGATTTAAAATGCTTTTATCCTAATACTGAGTTACTGAAGAATTCCCTCATGGGGTGGGAATTGAGCAAAGTAGTTTCATTCCAGATAGTTCAAAACGGAGCCACCAGTTAATTGCCTGAGACTTGGATCCTGTGAGCCCCAGCTCCACCCCTGGCTACGTCTGTAAGCCAGAAGCAAGTCATTCCTTTTGAACCTAACAGCCTCTGGAGTCAGTGGCCTAGAAGAGAGGTTGAAAACTGGTGGTCCTCAGGCCAAATGTGGCCTGCAAATATGTTACATTTGGCCCATCCAGGGTTACTTTCTTTTTAAGAATTGGAAAGATTTCATGTAAGAATTCAGAGTTTGAGCTTCTCTTGAAAACTGAGAAGACTAGTCTGCACGGGTCTTGTTTGTAGAGACAGGAGCCAGTGCACCTTCCGATGGCAGACACTGCCGTGTCGGCTTCATTCCACACCTGGCAGGGTGACCATCCATGTTAATTACTTCCTTTCTAGGCTCTTGCCTTTGTGGTTTCTGAGTCTTTCTCTGATGTCTCCTCCAGCTCAATAACTCCCATTACCTATGATGATATAAATGTTATAGTCATTGTAAACTCACATTAGCTGTTGACCAGGAACAATCTTTCCATCTCCCTTTTCCATGTTATCATATAATATGCTCAAAATAGTAGACAGTTTCCACCTGCCCAGTCCTTTTTATGTTGTGGAGGAATTCTCTCCATTTGTGGGTTTTCTTTTCCAAGTCTAACCTGTTGATTTCTACATACCCGATCATAAATACTCCCAAGCGCAGACAAGCCCACACTTGACATCAATATGTGGTTTAAAAATTACCGCCTTCAGTTTTTATAGTAGCATAATCTCTGGACAAATTGCTTTTAATTCAGGCTGTGCCTTGAACACGGATGTACCATTAATTTCCAGTGTAGTTTGACTTTTATTTAGATGAACGTCTTGAGTTGACAGTGAAATGGCTATCAGCTCTAGGTTAGCATTGATTCGAATGTCTCTGGAGTAAGTTTCGAAGATAGTTGCCACTTATATGCCGCTTAAGAGACAGACTTTAAACTCGTGATTTGTAGTACAGTTTATGGGCAGTAACGTCAGTGGAGTTAATAGCTGAGATGAAAATTGTTAACCTCTTTGGCATACACAGGCCCAGGTCTATTTTGGTGGCAGGGAGCAAGCTCAGGTTTGCTATTGCACATCTCTGTGGGTTCTGTTCCTGAAAGAGTAAGCTTGTCTTGGTTGAGGGTGTCGTCTGAGGAGCTCAGCTGACTCAACACTTCCCCGCTTGCTGCCTATCTGCCTGGAAGGGTAGAGCTGAGGGGGAAAAGGGGAGAGATGTAATTCTGAATGGTTGTGACAGAGGCTGTCATCCTCATGTGCAGCTTTCACTGCCTTTCGTTAACACCCACGTGATTTCCTGTGACTGTGGCTCCCCTCTCCTGTGATTCTCATTCCCAGTGTTTATTCATTGATGGTAGGAATGCCATGTTCTTCTATAGCCTTATGATGAGGATCTTACAGTGATCTTACTTTATAGATCTTACTTGATAGACTTTCTGAACGGTCCCTTCAGCTTTGACTATACATCTGAGCAATTTTTAGTCTTAAACTCTTGTTTAGACCAGAGCATCTCAACCTCTGAATATCACTGTTGACATTTTGAACTGGATAATTCTTTATTGCTAAGGGCTGTTCATGCATTGTAGGATGTTTAGCAGCACCCTTGGCCTCCACCCACCACATGCCAGTAGCACACCCCCACCCTGCTTACCTCCAGTTGTGACAACTAAAAATGTCTCCAGACGCTACAAATGTCATCCCTGGTTGAGAACCACTGATTTATAGACAATGAAGGGTCAGCCTCCTACCCCTCTTTTCTTTACTACTGCTTGATATTGTGTGATGCTTTAGTAAAACATTGATTGAAAGAATAGCCTTGGACTTGATATGGTGCAATGTATTTGGACCAGCGTACACTAATGTAGGTAGAGGACTGGCTTACCTTAGAATTTCTTTAAAGGTTGCTAAGTGGCGAAATGGTATTGAATTGAAATTCATTTGGGTTTAGCCAACTTCAGATAATTTGAGATTTTCATAGTGATTTGTTTATGGATGCAAGTGGGGAGCAGGTATGTCTGTATATCTCAGTATCAATAAGGTTACTTAAAATAGTGCTTGAGATAGGGGTGTTTATGAGAGAGAGGACTTGAGTCTTTTTGGGGGGGGAAGTAGAAGATTCCTGAATTTTGAGTGTAATGCTGAATATTGATACAATTGTTTCTTGTTTGTTTGTTTTCTCTCCCTTTACCAGAAACCTGAGTTACAACAGACTTTCTGAGATTGACCCTGCTGGTTTTGAGGACTTGCCAAATCTACAGGAAGTGTGAGTGCTTTTCCCCAAACCTTGGGGCGGTCGGGGGATGGAGAGCTCCTTGGGAAAACCCTCTCATATTGCAGCATCGCTCACTCCCCTGGATCAGCAGTCTAAACTTGTTAGAAGAGACATTTGCCTACGGCTGTCAGTGACAGATTGTACTGCTTCCTTAGCTCTCCTTCACTGCAGCCGCTCTCTTCTTCCTAGGCTGTCTGTGATGGGTGTGTTACACTCCCATAGGTATGGAGTCACTGGAAATCACATTGACATGGTGGGGTGCAGGAGAGTCCTCTCCCTTGTGGAAAGCCTTGTGGACCAGCTGGGTTAACACACTCGGCTGGTCCTTCCCCACAGTTCCCAGGGAGTTAAAGGCAGGGGCATAGGATGCCAGCCCACCCCTTCTGTTTCCCAGGAAACAAAGGTATAGAAGAATGGACAATAGAGGCTTACCTTTCCCCTTCTGCCTCCAAATGGACCTAGGTATTACTGCCTCTGGAACGCTAGGCTTGCTGCCTCTTCCAGTGTCCTTTAAATCAGGCCTCAAACTTTTCTTCTTCTTCTTTTAAATGTAAAGAATTCTGCTTTTCACATGGATTTTAGGATTATCAGGAATTTTAGCTCCATAGGAACTTTAGAGAAACTTTGATTATGAGTCATGCATGTCCACTGCAGAAAATTTGGAAACTATAGATATAACCACTGTGAACATTTAGTGAAAAATACAGATATAGTTTTGGGATCAAACTGGCTAGTTTTAAAATCTATTTTCTACTTATCCTTACATTTTTGATTACTTTAGCATGTAAATTAAAATTTTTTTAATATCCTGTTTTAATTTTATAAAACTGCCACACATAAATATTCCACAACTCATTCACCAAGTGCTTCTGTTGTTAGATATTTTTATTAAGCATTATTAGGTAAGTGCTTTACACATTTTAGTTATTATACGTAACGGATAAAATCCTTGTTTGTTATTCTTTGACTTCATTGTCAATGATTTATGTAAAGGAAATTTAATTTTATCGGGTGGTACAATTTGCAGAATACTTGCATTCCCTACCGCCATCTCCCAATTCTCCAAATTGGTGTTTATGATTTCTGTGTCTGCTTAAAAAGGTTTAAACTTGCAAAGTTGAAGGAACATCAGAGTTAGAAGGGGCCCTGGGAATTGTCTAGGGCCCTCATTTTGCCATGGGGTCAATAGGCCAGTGATGGGGGCAAGGAAGTTGGAAGTGGGTCACTGTGTAAGTTCTGCTAGGACTGTCATAATAAAATACCATTGACTGGGTGACTTAAAACAACAGAAATTTAGTTTCTCCCAGTTCTGGAGGCTGGAAGTCCAAGATCAAGGTGCCAGTAAGGTTTGGTTTCCTCCGAAGCCCCTCTTTTTGGCTTGTAGATGGCCACCCTCTTGCTGCCTCTTCATTCACATGGCCTCTTCTCCCTGCGCACGCATCCCCGATGTCTCTTGTGTGTGTCAAGAGGTCCTCTTCTTAAAAGGACACCAGTCATAGTGGGCTAGAGCCCATCTATATGACCTCATTTAACCTTGATTATATCTTGAAAGACCCTGTCTCCAAATATAGTCACATTCTGAGAAACCGAGGGTTAGGACTTCAACGTGTGAATTTTACGAGGACACAGTTTAGCCCATCACTGTCGCCCAAGATGATAAACCAGTCTATCAAGGACCCAGTTGGGTTCTTAACCCAGTGATCCACGCTGTCTTTAATGCTTATGGTGAGATGAGAATATTCAACTTTTATGTGTTTAAGTCTCAAAGCTTAGTGATTTCCTTTAGAATTAGACAAAATTAAAATTAGGGTATTTCTTCTGGCATCATTCAATCTTTCATTTAACATTTACTTGTGTATCTGCCATGTGCCAGGCACTGCTCTGGGTGCTGGGGGTACAGGAGTGAATAAGACAGACAGACAGGGCTGGGACTAGGGTGAGGCAAGTGAAGTGCTAGCCTCAAAATTTAAGGGGGTGCCAAAAACTCAGCAGTCAAGGTAAAGGATATTTTTTGAAGAAGATGATTAGCTCTGAGCTAACATCTGCCACCAATCCTCCTCTTTTTGCTGAGGAAGACTGGCCCTGAGCTAACATCTCTGCCCATCTTCCTCTGCTTTATATGTGGGACGCCTGCCATAGCATGGCTGGACAAGCAGTGCCTAGGTCTGCACCCAGGATCCAAACCAGTGAACCCTGGGCCACCGAAACCGAGCATGTGAACTTAACCACTGCACCACTGGGCTGGCCCTAAAGGATATTTTAATGCAATTAAAAAAATCAAAATGAATGCAAAAAAAAAACCCCACGATGAGCAAAATATAAAAAGTTTCAAGACAGGATCAGTGTTGCTGATTTTTCCTTTGGCCTTGGGCTCCAGTATGACTTGACATGGCACTGTTGCTGATCCTGTCTTAACATGAAAACTTTGATATTTTGTTTATCATGGACTTTGTTTGCATTCAGTTTGAGATTTTATAAGCATTGTGTTAAACTGTTCTCCATCTTGGCTCCTGAGTTTTTGCTGGCCCCTTCACTGTCTCACCCCATCCTCACCCATCCTGGCTCTGCAGACAAACCACTCGTCTCACAGAGCTTACATTAAGATGGGGGAAGATGTGCACTGAACCAGGAAACCACTGAGTCTTACTGGTGATGAGTGTTCAGGTGGGAATAGAACAGGGTAATGGGAGGATTTTTTCTCTTGTAATTTTGGAGGGGTGATAAGGGAGCTGGGCGATCAGGAGATGACAACTGAACAGATGTGAATGCTGTGGACAGAAAGGACTGCAAATAATACAGGGCCTCAAGGAAGGAACAGGCCGAGGGCCACTATGCCTGGCATGCATGAGGGGTGGGGTGTATGGCCAGGGCCTGGGTCCTATAGGGCTTGTGGGCCATGTTAGGTTATAATTCCAGCCATCATTGACACCCCCATCAGTTGGGGGTGTGGTAGATGCTCCCATGAGCATTTTCGGTGTTGTTCTGTCTCACTCTCTGGTTCTCTTTGTTCTTTCCCTTGACCTCCAGCCTTTAGTCCTCTACTACTTGGTGCTTTTTGGAACTTATCCCCCACCCAGATCTAGAACTGAGAGCATCTGACTTCACCAGTCCTTCATTGGGGATGCTGATTATGAGTCTTAAAAATAAATTTCTCACATAACAGCCACAGCAATCACGGCAGCACTGTGTTAAATGTTTGGTGATACTATCGCATTTAATCCTCATGCCAACTCTTTGATATAACTTATTTTCTTTACAATCGTTTTCTCCGCTTGACAGAGGAGAACACGAAAGCTCGGAGAGGTTAAGTAAACCTGTGTGGTGTTATGTGGTTAGTAAAACTGAGAGTTGAACTCAACTCCACTTCATTCCAAAACCAGTGCATTTAACCCTGAATTTGCACTGCCCTAACTTCCCCCATCCCTTATCTTAACCTATAACATTCAACTGAAGATTTAAAAAAAGGTGGAAAATCCAGTGTTTATCTTCTTGCATACCTCTCCCTGCACCAGTGTTCTCTTTCTAGGTACAGAGTATTCCTCTTATTCCTCCAGACCCCTTGTCCAAACTTTCACTAGCCTGGAAGCCCAGCCCTCTAGCCCCTCTCCTAACCCCGTCTTGTGCTCTTTCTGTTTTGTGTGTGACTTCTTCCTCCTGCTAATGCACTCATGAAGGTTGACCATAGCTGGCCATTGTGCTATGCACTGTACTCCTTATTGTCACTTCCACCTTTTTCAGACAGCTGAAGGAACCAAGGCTGAAATTGCACAGCTAGGAAGTGGGAGAACCGGGCCTGCCCACTCCAGTCTAACTCCTGTGCTCCTGTCCCGTGCTCTCTGTGGCAGCACCACCTTCCTGACTGTGGGACTGGTAAAGACAGAGATTGCATCTTATGGATACAATATGGTGTTGTGAGAAGAATGCACATTTTGGTAGCAAACAGATGTGGGTTGAGTTCTGGTTTTGCCCCTTATCGATCTATGTCCCTGGACAAGTTATTTAGCTCCTCAGTGCTTCTTTTTTTTTTTTTGTCTTAAAGATTTTATTTTTTTTCCTTTTTCTCCCCAAAGCCCCCAGGTACATAGTTGTATGTTCTGCGTTGTGGGTCCTTCCAGTTGTGGCATGTGGGACGCTGCCCCAGTGTGGCCTGACTAGCAGTGCCATGTCCGCGCCCAGGATTCGAACCAACGAAACACTGGGCCGCCTGCAGCAGAGCGCGCGAACTTAACCACTCGGCCACGGGGCCAGCCCCCTCAGTGCTTCTTTTCCCTCTTCTGTTACATGGACATAACATTATTGGTATTATAATAATTAGAGATGATGTCCAGGGCCTTGCATGTGGGAAGGGCTCAGTGAATGTTATTTCTCTTTTCTGCTGCTTTCAGAACCGCATGCTCTGCAAGCTGGGTGCATTGTTAAGAAACAAATCCTTAAGGGCCAATAGGTTGAACCTTTTACCACTGTGACTGCCTCCAGTCCCTGGCGTCACACTGTGGGATGGACAATACAAATTCCCTGGTGCCCAGAGCAGTGGAACTTCACTGATGAAGATCCAGGCCTTTCTCTAAGGAGATTCTAATATATTGTGGAGGCAGAAAGAGGCTGTCAGGAGCGAGGGGTGGAGAGATCAAGAAGGATATTGAAGAAAAAAAAATCATAGTTGACACACAATTGCTTCTAAATTAACCGGGCTTGAGGGTTTCCCGGGAGCTGTCAGTTCTCCTAAACCCTGCACAGCCATCCGGGTCTGGAAACCTCGAAAAGAGGGGAACCACAGGCTGGCAAAGCGGCGGGCAGTGGTTTTTCAGCAGTGGTTTTATTTTGGAGGCCCAGAACCACAGAGCATCGTGGGCCAGTTGCAGAGAGAAAGCGAGCCGGCTGGAGGCCCCTGGAGGACATGAGGACACTTGTGCAGCTGCTGCCAAGCCACACGATCTCCCTTGCCCACAACTCTGAGGAAAGCCCACCAGGGAGGGCCTCTAGCCAGGGGTCTTGGATGGCGAGCCTCCTCTATTAATAAGAGGGGCTATTTATACTGTCCTTGCTCAAAACTGTGCTGGGGTCACGTTACTGCTGCCTGGCCCAAGAAGGCTTAATGTAGGTGCTGCCGTGTGCTTTCCAGGGCCATTGACCTAGAATATTCTTGAAGGCGGCGAGGAAGCCTGCATGTGCCCTGCCTTTGGGTATTTATGGCTCACCCTCTTATGTGTCAGGTTTATGCTCCCACCAGTGCGTGTGTGGTGTGTTGGAGGGAGGGAGAAATAACCGGCGGGGCTGGGGGGGTGATGGGACAGGACTGCTTTTTGGCTGTAAATTACCACCACCTGTTGAGCATTTACTATATAACTGGCTTTTTCCTAAGCTGTTAGGTTTGATTATTTCAGCTGGATCCTGCCAAAACCCTATGAAGTTGGTACTTGTGCTATTTACACTTTTTTTGGAAGGGGAAATTAAGGCATGGTAAGCATAAGTGACATGCTGAAGACCATTCAATTGGTAAGGGGTAGGATTGGGGCCAAACGAACCCAGGCTTCTGATTTTAAAACCCCAGCTGGACAGTCCCCTCCTAATAGTCCCTGCTCTGCTGCTCTGTAACTGTGCCTCAGTTTCTTGTTTTAAGGTGGAGTTGATAATTTAGTACCTTCCTGCAAGGGTTGACACAGAGCCTGGCACATAGTAAACATTTGCCCTTATTGTTGTTTATCATTGTTAAAGTAACTACATCCTATATCATCATAGAAAATAACTGTGGCTGGACATCTGGTATAGAAACTATATATCAAAGAGTCTTGCCAAAGTAATTCTTTAGTATGCCTTATTTTCCAGTATATAAACACTAACAGCAGTGATTGATTAAATGGCCCTGACTCCAAAATCTGTGTTCCTACCTACTATTGACAACTTTCTCCCTTTTAAGAAACAAAATTGGCAGAAGTTCCAACCCCCCTGCCCAACTTTAACCATTATTAATTGTAGCCCTACTTGTATTTGGAAGCAATCAAAATGCCTACGGATAGCGGCCTGGCTAAATAAGTTATGGTTTGTTCATACCATTCATGCCAGCAGAGGAATACTCTGCAGCTGGCTAAAAGAATTATGGAGCTCTCCCAAGATATATTACTAAGGGGAAACTGTGGTACAGAACAGTCTGTATAATACACAAGCATCTGTGTAAAAGAAAAACATGTGGATATCGCTAGTAGCTGGCAGCAAAAGCTTCCTCTTGGAGGCAGACCAGAGGGCTGAAGCGCAAGGAATCTTTATTTTTCACTGTATATTCCTGATATTCTTTTTTGAAATGGTTTGCAATTTTTGCTGTGTGCTTACATCAGCTATTCAATAGATAAATATGGGGGGAAAACTGCTATAACTCAAAATTACTCTTTGGGTGTGTTTTTCATTGTTTGTTGAAGCCTAATTTGATTGAGATAATAATAAAGTACTCTGAAACATCCTTTTTAACATTTTGCAAAGTATAAAAACTTCCTTTAACCAAGCCAAGCAAATGGCAGCTTCAGAGAGATCTGAGGGCCCAGAAGGCCCGTGCTGGGAAAGGCCCAGCCCCAGGTGCTGCCCTGGGCTCAGGCAGCCCATGCAGCCCCCACTTTCCTTAGTCACACCTCTTCCAGCTCCAGGATTGGACCACAATTCACAGTCTGATGCATCTGGGGCACTTTGGTCCTGAATCATCAGGAAAAGTTTCAGTTACAGAATCCAGACGTTTTAGAAGGATCGTTAGGGGCTTGGATGGAAGTAAACTAGGGGGGAGTGTGAAGGGTGGCAGACTGTGCAAGCCTAGATATTCAGATCTCATCAAACAGTATCCTCCATTCCTACAACTTCCTCGTTCGTGGAGACTGTGCTGAACTTCCCGAGGGCCCTTCCTCTCCAAGCTCGGGCCGTGCTATTTTTGCCCAGCCTATTTCAGTCTGGCAAGTTGGTCGTGTCTCAGCGAGTTTGGCCTCCGTTGCCTTCTGAGGACAGTGTTCTTCGCTTCAGCAGGAGACAGGGCGAACAAAGAGAAAGCGAGTACTGGTGGAGCTAGCTGACTTAGGTTTAGCCAGTGGTTCTTTCTACGTAGAAATGAGCAACAAGTAAGCTGGCCATGCAGTTCTTCTCCTTTGGGCTCCAGCTGTCCTCTTCATAAATCAAGCAGCTCTGTGAGGTCAGAGCCTGCGATTTCTGCCTCACCCTGTTGACTCGGGGCTGCTGATCCAGACATTAAATGCCCCGTTTATCTTCAGCACTGGTCCACTACTCCTGTAACACTCTGTTTCCAGCAGTTAAGATTTGAAATAATTATTCTGATACCCCTCTTCCCTATTCATTTATTTCTGTGAAATTCAGTGGTGCAGTTTGTCATGTGTGCAGTAGGGCTGGCCTGAGACCAGGCTCATTCAGCGCAAGTTCCCTTGCAGAGAAGTCCATACTGTTTGTTTCAGGCTTAAAATCAAGTCAGATCCTGTGCAGGCTGGAACACGACTACCACGTTGCTTAAGGGGTTATGAGCTCTCTGGCTTGGTGGCCTTTTCGCTTGTGGCTCTCCTCTGATTGGCAGTCATACTTGGGTTCAGCTCATGTCTATGCCTCTCTCTAGTTTTGTGGCCCTAAGCTAGTGACTTCAACCAAAACTTGACTTAAGAGAACTTACGTATAAGGTAGGGAATAGTAGTCATCCCTAGTACCTAAGTCAGAGTTATAATGATGAACTTACAAAGTATGTGTAGAGTTGGTGCTGCATTATAAAGAAATGGAGGATGATGGGTAAGAACCTAGACTTCCCGGGCCACTGCCACTTAACAGGTGACCTTGGTGAAATCACTTAACGTCTCAGTGATTCACTTTCCTCATTGGTACAAGGGAAATGTTCATGGGACCTGCCCCCTAGGAGTCTAAAGATGACCTCATACACGAAAAGCTCTTAGAGCTGTGCTTGGCATACACTATGCCCTCAATTAGTTGGCTTCTGCTGTTATTATTACTATTATTACCACCATCATCTGTGTTTGAGAATAAATCTCTAAAAAATAAAGAGTTCTTAAGCCAGCTGCCTTACTAGAAACAGGTTCCAGACCTTAGATTTTCTTGCTCTGATAAGATCTGAGGGTCTCTTTCTAGTAATAAGCACATTGATGGTACTATGAAAATTATTAGTAGAGATTCAGACTGATGGAGAGTTTTCAGTATCCTTGTACCAACATGGGAAATGGATCACAGCGGGGTTGGAGAGAGAAAAGGTGAAGCAGAAACAATCTGATTTAGGGAGCAGTCAGATAAGAGACTGTTAAAGTAATTAATTGTCTACTTCAACACACAAACAAGGGCCCTTTAAGTGGAGAAAGGATTTGCCACGTGATACGGATCTGCTTTCTCTCCGCCAGATGCTTCAGTCATGAAGCTATTGAAACAGGCATTCTGTGTCCCACGGCCCAGTAATTGCCAAGCTTCATCTCTAACTGGCTTTGGCACTGAAGAAAGCAAATGGGATAATTCAAGGCCTTTTCCTTTTTTTTCCCTATTCATTTCTATAAAAGATGGCATACAACCAGATTATTCTATTCAAGCAAATGCTGGCTGTATACTTGTATGAATACAGCTGTCGTTTCAGTGGCCTTGTCTTCAAACAGTAACAAGATGCTCTGTGTAAGACATACTCTCTTAAGAAAAGGAGAATAAGATAACCCAGCTTGATCCCCTTGATTCTGCATCTCAGATAGAATTTCTTTCCAACTCATCACCCAGCAGAAAGCCTGATCACTGTGCTTTGGCTTTCTTAAGGATTTTTGGGCTCACTGCGCAAGTCTGATTTTTGGATTCTCCTCCCCGATTTGGAAATACATGTCCATGTAAGGAGGCCAGATTGCAAAGCCTCTGGGGGCAGACCAGGCGAGCTGTGTTTTGGTTTGCGGGCTTCCCCTTCCATTAAGAGATATGAACTATGGAAATACAGATTTAGAATGTTCGAGCGGGAAGGGAGCTTGGAAAACATCTCTGGTCTGTGGAAGATTTTCAAAAGATCTACATACAAAAGTATGTGTCTGTATGTATGTATTCCTGGAAAACGTGTCCGGAGCTGTCACCAGAATTCAAAGAAGTTGGAATCTCAAACAGATGAGTGTCTCCAAGGCCAGCTCCCTTGTTGTTTCACAGATGAGGCATTGGAACAATTGCCCCACATTGTCCCAGGCCCCTCGGAACTCCACGTGCCTGCGTGAGTCTCGGCCCTGGGTCCAAACAGGTCGCACTTCGGCAGAGTTAGAGCTGTGGTTCACAGACCACTGTGTCACAGATGTTGAAAAACAACCAGGAGGGGATGTTCTTTCCTCCTCAAATCCTCTTTTGACTGTTTCAGTCCACGAGGAGCGCTCTCGTTGATGGTCTTGGGGCCCTTTTGTTCTGCACTGTGCATCTTGGCCTTGGTCGCTATTCCTTGTTAGTCTTGATTTCTGGGCTAGATGAGAGACAACCCCCTGAGTGTTTATTTCTAAACAATGGGTGTGAAAAATGGTTAGTTTTTGTGACCTCCCATGACTTCTCTCCCTTTAAGATCTTGCTTGTAAATTCTTTATCTTTTATTCAGCATTACAGTATAGTCTTACTATGGTCAACTCAAACTTGTTTTTTTAATTTCCCTTGTATGTATATCATTTCAAATTATATGTTTTTTTAGTGATTTTAAATAATTTAAATCTACGAGTTTAAATGATTTAAATGATTAATTTCTTCTTCTTCTTACAGGTACCTCAATAACAATGAGTTGACAGCCATACCATCCCTGGGTGCTGCTTCATCTCACATTGTCTCTCTCTTTCTGTAAGTGGTGCCATTTTGGGGATCCTGGGTGGTGGGGTGGGGCCGTGGTATTATCTTGCTGACATTGGGTGGCAGGAAAACTCGTGTTCCTCTGTTTGCTGGTGAAGAGCAGCCTTTCTTAATACAGCCCTAATCATCATGACAGATGCCTTGCTTGCTGTTTTGGGATTTGTAGAATTAAAACCTGGCGCTTTTTGCCTCATCTCCCATTTAGGGGGAAATTGGTCTTTTTAATGCCCAGAGGCGTATAGATTTAAATTTCTTAGTCCTAGTGGTTAGTTAAGCTGCAATTTGGGTGAATAAGCTGGAGTGAAAGGAAGCTGTTTCAATTATAAGACAGTAAGCTCATCTTTGTGCCAACAAATTTGACAACGTGACTCAGTTCACTTTTATGGCTTTAAAAAAGAAAATACCCCCAGGCCTCTGAAATCAACATAAAAGTAAGGAATTCGTTGTCATGATGAAGTGTTAGACAACACACTGGAAATGAAAAGGGTATAAAGGGACTTAAATGAAAAAGGAAGGAAGGAAGCCATGGGGGATATTAGGTTGGAGCTGTTAAGCACCCTTGCTGGAGAGTCAAGCACAGTGAGTAACCCCCAGGTCTTCCACCATCAGGGGGAGGTGCAACTCGCCCAGAGGTCTTTCCAGATAAAACAGTCGTGAATCCAGCAATTTTCTCGACCAGATTTTATCAGTAGCTTCCTCAGGACAGCACCTTCCTCTTCACACTGAATTTCCTGTTTCCATTCCAGCTCTGCATATTTTGATTTGACGTTTATTTTGCTGGGGTTACAACTCCTTTTCTCACCTGTATGTATCTTTTCTTGACACTGAGGCTCAGCTGGCTGAGCAGAGGGACTACGCAGGAAGGTGCCATCCACACGATTGCTGCTGTCGCTTGCAGATCTCTGGTTTTTGTTGGCAACAGGCCTTTGTTCAAGAGGTGCTCCATCCTTGGGAAACATGGTCTCGGGCTTAACTCTTCTGAAGGCATTGTGGGGTTGGGCGAGCAGAGCTTTAGAATTGTGGCCCAGGTCCTTGTCCCAGACAGACAACTTCATCTCTCTGAACCTCATTTTCCTCATTTACGGAATGTGTTCTTCACCCGTTTTACACATGGGGAAAGTGGGGCCGAGGTTCGAGAGAAGTGGAATGTATATGAAGTTTCTGGCATCATGCATGACACATAGGTGTTTGACAAATGGTGGCCACTGCTTCTCTTTGGTGGCTAGTTGTCACATAGCCCCTTGGGCCTCGGCCTGATCTTATCTTTAGGGCCACAGGATTTGTGAGTCAGTCCTTGTTCCTGTGAAGTGCTGGAACGAAGGTTGTAGCCCTTTGTCCCAAGATGGACAGGCAGGGTCTGACTTTTTTTCCTATTGCTAGCCCACAGGCCTGTGTGTTCAGCATCTGGAAGGTGTCTAATTGCTGGATAAATTAAATGAGTTTCCTTTACCTGACACTAGTTAGGGATGTGATAATCCCTTGTATGTTCATAAAGCAAAGCACTTGAAGATGCTTTTAGCACCTTACTACTGAAGGTACAGTTCCTGGACCAGCAGTGTCATCTCAGTGCCGAGCTTGTTAGAAACGCAGAATCTCAGGCCTCATCCCAGCCCTGCTGGATCCGAAGCTGCTTTAACAAGGTCTCCTGGCCGTTTGCCCACTCATTCATGTTTGAGAAGCACTGCTTTCACTCCCCTTGCTCCTTGCTTGGTTGGGAAGCCAGGGCCACAGAGAACATCTTTGTGTTACTGGACAGGAAACCTAGGCTGCCTGAATTCCTGTAAGTTGCAAAATCGAGAGTTGGAATTGACACTGGACACAAATGCCCATGCCTTGCTCCTTTGTCTGCCCCCATCCACTGGGTGCAGGACTGTGGCAGGTGACTCTGAACCACTCACTGCCAGAGACGGGCAGGGCCCCCAGCTTGCCCCGAGGGCCTGTGGCCCTTTGAATCCCGCCTTGCTCTGCTGACTAAAAATACATTTCTCTTCCTTGGCCCAAGTGCCCGGAGCAGTGGGGCTGGTTGGCCTTGTTCCTGCTATTCCATTAGACAGCGTTAAAATATGTAAAGCAGGGGGGAAAAAAAAAAACACTGCCTCCTGGTTTTGATTCAGTTTGGAAAATGCAGGTTAGCATTGGCAGCCACCTCTTTGGCCTGAAGCTGGTCTCCATCTGACTTGGTCAATGATTTCTCTGAAACTACAGAAACTGAAGGGTCTTTATCTTCCTTTCCTCTGAGGGGCCTGTGTTCCCTGATCCTAAACTGGCTGCCTGGATTTAGTGCCTGCAAAGTTAGGTTAGCAGTGTGACATCTGGGTAACAGGATTAGAGACAGTTTTGCTATCATTCTTCATGCCTTTCTGTATTTCCCAAGTGGACCCTGAAAAGGACACAGGAGAAAATAATAGAGCGGGCAGTGAGGAGTGTTACCTTCCCACTCTGACCTGCGAAGACCAAGCACTTAGCATCTCCACCCATAGGATGGTCCAGTCGTTCAGGCTTCAGAGAGCATGTTTTGCTGAAGTGTCTGTGGCTTTGCAGAACCTTAGAGTTAAAAGGTGTCACATGTTCAACAAACATTTAGTAGGCACTTTCCATGCCCTTTTAGTTGGGGCCCAGAGGCCATCCCAGAGTGACCTCACGAGGATTCATTGCCATCCCATGTGGGAAGCCCCTGACACATTGTCTGAAAATGTGGTAGGTCAGTTAGCTCAAAAAATGTCCACATTAATAGTCCTTAGTCTCCAAATTCTTATTCCCTTCTCATCTCCCCTTTGTGGGCAGAAGGAAGCTAAGAAAAATTGTCAGTAAAGGGAATAGATGACTGAGGCCATCTGAGTTAGAGGAGCCAGGACAACTCTCTTAGGACAAGTTTATAGGCAGGTGCCTCAGGGAAAAGGGTGGACCAGGCATATAGCCAACTCTGTCTCTGCTGCTGTTGGGACCTGGGACACATCACCTTTGTCTCATTTGATGAATGAAGGGGTGAAACAGATGGTAAAAGTACCCTCACAGCTTTCATATTCCTTCTGTGACCTTGAGACTGAGAGCAGGAGCAATATTGTCACAAAAGAACTACTTGCTTCACTGTCCCATACCACTCCTGCTGTATTCAATCTTAGCAGAAGTAGCGGGTTTGTGTTTTTCAGTTCAGACACCTGTAATTACAGACTTTTGCCTCTGGGTTTTGTTTGGTTCTGGAAGTCAGCTCTTCATCTCTGTGCTTGGTTTCCGGGCTCCTTACTCACAGCACAGTGCTCTGATCCCCCAGACACCAGGACCCTCCTTTGCTGGGGGTCACAGTTGGGAGGGGCTTGTGGAAAAAGGTCTGTTTCACACCTGGCTTTACCATCAGGGCTTCAAAACAGAGTTTTCCAGCATTTTGGGAATGAGAGTCATTCAGTAATGTTTCAATTGGTTAATATTTTCTCATTAAAGGAATCTAATTCAATTAAAATCTTTGTCAAAAAGCAGATTTATTTGCATCACATTCTGAGGATAACGCCAAAGCCATTCGTCCTTAACAGAAAACCATTAAACTCAAAGAAAGCTTTTAATGGGATTGCATTGGAGTCAGGGAGCTAATTTGATGAAAACAGTTCTCAGAAAAAGCAACAGACTTTTGTTCATTGGGGGCAAAATCTGCCGGTAGATTTTCACGTCTGAGATTTTTTTTTTTTTTTTTTTAATTTGAAGTCCAGGAAACTCAAGTTACGATTCCCACGGCAACAGTAATTTTGTGTGATGCATAAGTGACATTTCTGGTGAGGAAAAATTTCCGCTTTTCCCGTGGTGTTAGTGCACTTCTGTCATTGAGGAGATCAGTTACAGTGGAAACGGGTGGATTTTTTTCAGTCCTGGGAGTAAAAAAGCTTGCTGTGAAATCGACTTTAGTTTTAAAGGAGGGCAGCTCTTTGTCTGCCATTTATTGTCTGAAGTGTGATTCCCATGTGGCCCTTGGCTTTATCCACGTCACTGCTTTTCCAGTCGGTGGTCTGTTTCAGACCCTCTCCCTCCCCCACGCCTTGTCATCCAGTCTCGCCTGCCTTTGGCCAAGTGGGAGAGCTGGGCAAAGAGGAGTTGCACACAATTACTTGTGGCTTTGTAATAGTGCTATTAAACTCTCTCAGGTTTATGTTGCATTTGAAAACACATTGAAATACCTTTTACTTCTAATCTTGAAAAAGAATTTTTTATTGAGATAAAATTAACATAAAACTCTCTGTTTTAAGAATTTTCAGGTGTATAGTTCAGCAGCTTTTAGTACATTCTCAATGTTGTGCAACCATCACCACTAATTCCAGAACATTGTCATCACCCCCAAAAAAATCCCATACCCCTTAAGCAATCACGTCTCCTACCCCCTTCTCTCTGGCCCTCTGGCAACCACTAATCTGAAAACTAATTGGTTTTTTTTGAGGATCAAATTTATCTCTCATGTTAGCAAGTGTACCTTGGAGACTTAGAATATGAATAATTTAAATAAAAATATCAAAGGCCGGTTTAACCACACGGTTATATATTTTGCTGTGACCTCTTAGCTGAAGAAAAACTGATTGAGTTAAAGGGATGGAATATTTAACATCTCTTTAATGTAACTTCCGGAGAATAAAACGTGGAAGGAATGAAACCTGGTGTCCTGTCTGTGACCCCACTGGGAACACGTTCAGTGGAAGGAGCTCTGGGTGAAGTGGAGGGAGCCCGAGGCTGTGAAGGATGGAGCCTCTTCTCTCTGCTGGGGAAGGAAAATCAATAGCAGTGCTTAACTCTCGGCGTGCCTAGCAAACCCTCTAGAAAGAAGAGGGGCCAGATCAGTCTTCTTTACAGGCTTGTTAGTGTGAGGATCAATTCACGTGAAATGGTAATTAAAGAGCAGGCATGGAGGGGAGGCTGTGATGATCTGGCTGCTGCTGCTCAGGACTGCAGAGAGGAATTAGAGCCCCTCCGAGGGCCCAGCTTGGACACTAGGGAGAGAGGGACCAGAACTCACC